GACTCACATGCATCTCTTAACCTCCGATCCTCCACCAGTCTGTGAACACTGCAACAATCCACTGACTATAAAACACATCCTTATCGACTGCGAACATCATGCAAATACTCGACGCTTCCACACACTGAAGAACAGCTTAAATGAAATTCTAAACTCTACCGACCAAGTTCCTCCAAAGTATCAATATCTATGACAAAATTTAGCGTATAGCTCTTAGGTTAAGTTTAGAAATGTATGGCTAATACTTGATTGTTCCTGTGTCAATGACCTTTGATGTTGAGACACATTAATTTTAATAATAAAAAAAAATAATAACTTCTAATCTCTTTTGTACCGGGAAATTTTTTTATTTCATACAATATATTTCATGACTTCCTTTACTGTTGCAATATTCACATTCGAATTGCGATATCTCACGCTTATTAACAAGCTCCTAGCGAGTTTATAATTTTGCGGTGTCTGTCCGTCCGTCCGTCCGTTAGCACGATAACTCATAAACGAAAGAAATGAAATTTGATACATAGCCACTTGGAATAATAGCAAATGTAGCGCCGTTTTCCAAATTTGGTTTTGTGCATGATGTGCAGTGCCAATTTTCTTATTTATGGAAGCAATTAATACACACTTTAAATAAAATCAAAACTAACATCAGGTTTAAAATTTGGCTTTGCACATGCTATAGCCATACCCAGGAGCTCGTTTGCTATATTTGTTTAATTTATTAGTTTTCATATTTGTTTATGTAGAGCTGGTTGCTACAGAGACCATTGTTTTAAACTTGGCCGCATTAGCAACATCACCTGAATTTGATGCTGCCATGCTACTTGCTCGTTTTTCTAAAAATTCATTTAAGTTTGCAGGGTCTTGTTGATCTAATTGATAAGCGCGATTTGTGTATGTGTAATAATATGTGTAATAGTAGAATCGGTGAAAGATCTAGGTGTCCTTCTGATAGACTCGAAATTGAAGTTTGTCATATTAAATTATGATGTAGTAATATGTTCACCTTAAAATGCCACTGGTGGCAATAAATGCTTATTATTTACATTTTCTTTTGTACTTTTTTTCTGTTCTCTCAACTCCTTCTCCTCTATCTATCTCTTGCTTTCTTTCTCTCTTTTTTAGTAATTTCAACAGAACACAAAGCGTGCGTGCAGTGACCATGAGTTGCGTTGCGTGCGTCTCGCCTCAATATCGCATTGTAATATGTGCAACAACAATTAAATTTAAATTGCAGTTCAAACACGTTGAAGATAACGTTCGATAATTTATTCGCAAGCATTTCTCGATACGGATATCGCTCCATTTTCATTGGGTTTTTCTTGTCGATGTGTAATTTATACCCGTGTAGGGGCGGGAAAGAATACCCCTACCGCAGGGGTCACTGCGTGTCGTAGAAGGCGACTAATCAACTGCCGGACGGCTGCAAACCCTTGCACTGTAAAAGAATGTTTCGTGGAATCTAAGACTGTGATTTGCACAATAAATCAGTTGAGTGATTTTTCTACATCGTTTCACTTAACATTGTAACTTGCAACCATTTTGGACTGCTCTTACCCTCGCATTCCTGAAAACTGAACACGATTTTCTCGAATCAGATGTGGCCATTGTGCTTTTTGACACGGTTCCCAATTTTTTTGGTTTTTTACCGATTCTTTAAAACGCTACTTGTAAGTTAACATTTTCTGAACTTAAAAATAAGTAAAATTCAGGTTATTGGCAGGCACTCCAACAAATACAACGCTTTACAATCCGAAACCGTATTAGATAAAAGTACCGTATCAACGTAAATTTGCTATCCATATGGGCACAGATAAAATACATACGCCCTATGGGTCTTGAAATAGACAAACGATGTATTCGGGCTACCATTGTAAAATAACCACAGCCGTAATAACGTGACATGTTATTTAGTCTTAAGACTGTTATTTAGTCTTAAAAATGTAGATGAAATATGTATAGACCGTGAAACATAATACAGTTCATATTTCAGAAAATGCTCAAAATAACAATATGCTAATTGAATTTTGTTCATTTATCATAAATCTGAGTCCTGGCTTATTGTCAAACCGAAAGTCAAATTCAATTTTTGTTCTACCGAAAGGTTTAATCTTACACCAATGTGTAAGTACTATACAATACTGTACTATACACTGCCTTAATTAATGTGTATTGATCTGAAAAAAACCTTTTTTACTATACACTTGAAAATGGAACGAGTTCGTTCCTAAACATGCCGTGTAGTACAACTTTTGTAAGCAGCTTCAGCTGTATACTCACATAAAGCAGTGTCAGTCGATCGATTGTAATTTATGCAGACAAAACCATGCTGATTGGTAATAATGATATTGAACTTTTTTAAATAGTTCATTAATTGTTTATTAATTACTGATTCAAAAACTTTGGACAAATTTTAAAGCAAGCTAATCGGCCTATAGTTGACAACGTCATTTGGGACTCCCTGTTTCAACAGTCGCATCAACTTCCAAACGACATGGGAAAACACAAGTTTGATAACTTAAATTAATTATGTAATATAATGGTTTGGCAATTAAACGGTTAACTAATTTTAATAATCTATTACTTATTTCATCACTTCCACAAGATAAGGATGATTTCAACCATCCCACTAAAATATCGTCCTCAAAGGAAGAGAAAGGTATACTTTTATTATTACAGGTCAATTTGCCAGCACTGCCATAAAAACGTGAAAAATAAAAGGTGAACATATCAATAGCTTGTGAGTCAGATACCATAGCTTCATCCTTAAAAATCTTTATGTTTGTATGCTTTTTACGACCATTCAGTGAATTAATAAGATTCCAGTTTGCGATAACAAGCGGAAAATGAAGATTAAAGTAGTAGGAAAAAAGGCGTTATCTATAGAAAAGACATCTTCCCAACTCTTTTTGGAGAAATCTGCAACATAATTCGTAAATTATAAGTGCAATTTCCTGAGGAAAGAGCGCTGTATTTGTAATTTTAAGAAATATGACCCACTTTAATATCATGGAAACCATTTGTATATAAAATGGAAAAAATGTTTCAGACAAAACTTGTAGAGGATTTAGTCCAGTACCATTTTTGTAATAGGTAGTTTTTTGGATGGAAGCAACCGAACAGGAGATACATACCAAACAACTGATTTTTGTCGCCATTTTATTAAAATAAAATCATGAACAAATATTCCAATATTAATTAGGTTTGTTGAATTTTATTATAATTAAAAATAGTAGTCCATTATTGTTGAAGTCTGACATGAAATCTGAGAAGTATGCTTGAAATCCGTGACATCTCGTAAAATCCAGAGAAATATGTATGAGATCCGTTGAAGTTTGTGTGAAATCTGTTGAAATCCATGAAATATAAAATTTAGTGTAATGACATGATTTTGACTCATGATTTTGTGATCTCGTGAAGGAAGAGACTTTTTAAAATTTATTATCTGGACAGATGAATGACATTTTTCAAATAATAGCATGTTTAATGCAAGAAATAATCATTATTGGAGTACCGACCACGGAAAACCCTATAATATTGTGAGTGAGATTCCAAAAAAAATTCAGTGTTAACTTTAGATGAGCAATTTTGAAAGATATGTATGAAGATACTCTCACGGGTGATTGGTATTTCCAATTTTTAAGAGACGCAAATATGTGAGATGATCTGCCCTTAAATTATGTAAGAATTTATATTATCAACAAGACGGTGCACCTGCCCACAATGGGCAAAAAGTAACGCAATATTTAAGTTCTCGAATCAGTGGATTGGTACTAACGGCCCTATTTCGTGGCCAGATTTAGTCCATTAGATTTGTTGGATAAGGCTATTTAATGGATAAAGATTACAGTAATGTGTGTCCACATTTAGAGTAGGAGCATTTTAATAATATTGAAGGCCGAATGTTAAGATCAGTAAGAAGTAATTTGTTCCGAAGAATACAGTTAAGTATGTATTAATGAAAATGGAGCACAATTTGAGCAGTATTTGTAAATTTATGTATTTGTCGTGTTTTTGTTTCAAAGTAATTGTTTTTCACATTCATTTGTGTCGTCCATGGCGCACTTATTTTAACTTTTTCAAAATAAAACTGATGTAAATCTAAACATGCATTTTTCCCATAAAATTCTTATTTAAGGGTATACAAATATTATATCACTGGATACAGAATAAAATTAATTGAACAGACCTCGTAGGCCGTATAGTTACCGAGATAGCAATAGGTTGTAGTCAAAATAAAATGAACACCCTGTACATCAAATTTGTGTAATATTTCGTGGTCTACAATTTCTGTAAATAATGTTTTTTTTCTAAAGTGATAGTGAACCTTTAAAAAGATATGATTGAAAAACTAAAAAACCAACCAAATTTCGAAGGTTCTAGGGGTGATACGGTGGAAGCAAAAGGGGTGGGAGGTCAAAAACTTGGTTTCGTAACCACCAGATGGCTCTCTATGACATGCAAGAAAAATTGGAACTACTTCTCATTTTGCAAGTTCAAATTCTCTATTCCCATAGTACCGATAAACCTTGTACTTTTAACGCGTACGATTCACGTGAAACAGTGATGTTTTACACTGAAACATGTCAAGTACGGTTGCACCTAAAGTTGTACAATCATTTTTGTAGACGATTGACTATGCCACAAATTTGTTGAGTTTACAGATGCTCTTTCTGTAAAAGTGGCACTTTTTAGTAGGCTGAAATGACATTTTTATGAGCACATAAATCGATTTGTTACATTAAGCTTAGAATCACCCCATACTTAGCTGTTTAATTTCTATGGGTTGCACGGACACCACTTCATTCTTTTCTTACTTGCTCAGATTGGGTCATAGCTACCTAGTTGATTACTTCCGGATAGATTACAGTCTTGGAATGTGAACTTAATCGCGCTTTGCTTCAAAAACGTAATGCACTGTATTACTCATAGCCATTACTCATTAAATCATTAATTACCATTACTAATTAACGATATCAGTTGTGAAAATAATCGAACAGTAAAACTAAATCGTTTATCTTGTGATATCATAAGATGAAGGCATGAAATAATAAACAAAACTCGTTAAAGTTAAAGCAACATCGCAAATAAAGATATAAAAATAAAAGGCATAAAATGGTCCAGTTTGAGAATGCATTTCAGTTTGAACCATGTTACCAGCGATTTCCGCCATCATTGTACATTCCTAGGTATGCCGAACAACTGGAACAGTAATGATTCCTGTTTTGGCAGCTATCCATGCAATACGGAATGAGGCAGCAAGGTATACACCTACAATTACATCGTGAGTTTATGCGGTTTAATTAAAGCAAGGGTTGCATTTACCCTATCAGGCACAAAACTACCGCGATTATGTGGGTTCTGGAGCTGGCCTCGGTTATAATCTTACTCGTTGTTTGTTGGTGGCAGTAAGGGCAAGTGACCGGCTGGGGTTGGGGCCCAAAAGCTACTTGTACCACGGGTGTGTTGGTCACGACGATTGATGCACCTATCCGTCCGAATTTATTACAATTTATTGCATATCTTTCGACATACTTACCCGAGGGCGCATAAATCGGCTGTCCTGATCCTTGAACGAATGTGTGGGCGGGTGCCGGAGGGTTCGCGGGGACATTAAATCCGATGTTTGGGGATGCGGCTTGTTCGTACGGCGGTGGTGCATCTTTACCCATGTCGGTAAATGCAGAGAATCCTAAAAACGTAGCGTACACGTTGTAAACACACAAATTACGATAGGTTAAATTGTTACAGTAATTAAATTTGTAATTGCTGACCTTATATTTCAAACGAAAAAAATCACCACTATGTGCTGTTTTAGTTTATAATCGCGTCGAAGTTCACCATCCAAAGGCCAACAACTAACTTAACAAAACAAAGTTTGGTTTACCGTTAGGGGCGCTCGGAGAATTTTGCTTGACGTCAGAAAAAAGACGTATATTTCCGAAAATCCCAATCGGTGACTCTCGCTTGAACTTCTGTTGCAGCAATGAAAATTGAAGGTTGCCAATTAAATTACCCAAATGTGGTACTTAGTAAATCCGATTCAAAGTAGGTGTCCACTGTCCCTACTAGATAGGCATTTGCTCTGTAGTGTGCGCAATACAAGTTGTTGACTCCGGTCATTCCGGTTCCACACATAAAAAAAGCATTAGTGCAGATTTACCTGCCTGCAGGCAACTTTTTGCCAATTAGTTCTACACGGTAAAAAACCTTTTCTTGATATAAAATTTTGTATTGCTTTAATTTCGTTTCTTTAATTTGACCATAATAACATTTAATTCAAAGATTATTTTTTATTTTAAGAGATCTAGTTTATTTAACAGTAAAGTATTATTTCTTTAGTTAAATTTTTTTAATGTAAAGCAATATCGTAAAAGTAAACATACATGTCGTTAGTTGAAATGTAGGAAAAATTTAAAGAGAACCTTTTTGAATGATAACGTCAAAATAATCCTATGTTCGGCTTGAAGCTTTTATTTGTGGAAAAATAATAGTGGATTTGTTTTAAAGATACATTATGTTTAATCCGAAAGGGAGAGTCTAAAACTAAAGAAACACTCGTTTTCTTTGTTCATTATTTGGCTACATTTAAATGTATTAAATACTTAAGACAAGCATTTCTTTATTTGAACTTATGCTTATATTTTTCATTTAATGCGTGCTTCTTTATAAGCAGAATATTAAACGTGCAAATTGCAGTTGCAAACCCACTGAATATACAGGAATACGCCATAACTGTCCAGTGTCTTGTCATGTTCGTATAGCGGTATCAGTTCAGTATATCCCGTGAATTTGCAGTTTTTAGTTTCTTTAATAGTGCTACTGGATGAAGTGAAAATGTATGCTGATGTTGAAAGTTTACTCGAGGATTGGGGACTGCCTCAATTAATTGAAACCTTTAAAAGTAAGTATTTAGTATATAGTTACTTATGTACCTACCTTTTATGTACCTACCTAAAGTCAAATCAAGTAGTGGTAGGTACTTGTTACTTTTATTTTAATTATAATTATTATTGGTGTAATTGAATTACATCGGATTATGTGATTAGGTCACCTGTTACTTTTTGCTTTATTTGGAAAAATAAGTTGGGTGAATTTTGAGATTTGCACGCATACATGGCAAGCATTTCAAATTTCGATTATGGTATTTCTTAATGGTTTTACTTGGTGTAGGTATAAATCAACAATTTGTGTGATTCTGTAGGTCACCGACATGAAATTTAATACATTATTAAATTATTTCCTACCAGCATTTCTTCATAACTTATGCTCTATATACATATAGAGATTATTGTTAATCCGCGAGAAACTGAGTGTATAGCAGATTTTTCATTCCGTAATCTAATTTCTCATTTCATGTTGCTTACAATCCGAGTTACAATTTTGTGTTTATTTTTTTAATTAGAATTTAGATCACTAGGTAACTATATTTCTAAAATTATTATAATTTTTAGACAACGACATAGATCTCTCAAACTTCTTTTTATTAGAAGAATCTTTAATAAAGGAACTTATTCCCAGCATTGGGATCAGGGCAAAGTTTTTATCTCTATTTAAAAGAGCAAAAGAACTGGAGAATTCTAGTATTGTAGTCCACGAAGTAGTCCAGGTATGCTGTATACATACTACACCTTCCAGATTTTCTTAATTGTACAAATTTAAGGCGGTTGACGACGAAACATCAAATCTTATCCAGGCGAACATGGAGTTTGAGTCAAACTCAGAAAATAGGGTAAAATGCATCATGCATGCCGTAAGTTTAATTGAATCTGAATTTTAATACTTATTTAAAGGAGAGAAACGAGCAATACTTTATCATACCCCAACAACATCGGCCGGCTGCTGAAATCGGACTCGAAAACATGCTTAAAAAAATTCAACTACCGGAATTTGATCTAAAAACTCTTTTATGTACCAGCGTATTTGGATCAGAAATTTTGGAATATTACAATAAAAATAAATTTTTGGATATGAAACGGAGAAACAAATTAACAGAAATAATTATTAAGCACGTTTTTGATTATGTTGCAAAATAGTGAGTTTACATCATATGAAGTCGTACCTTTACCAATACCTACCAAATTTTTAGTCGACTAACACCAGAGGATTACAATGTCCTAGCATCAAAAATAATAACGCTTTTCCCAAAGGAAACTGCTAGTACTTACTATGTTCCAGCCATTCGCAAGAGAGACTCTATAACTCGCAAACCTATACTGGCACGCGGTAAATTGGTAGACAAATGTCGAAACCTTTTACATGACTGTGGACCGAGTGTCATTATTAGGAAAAGGAAAAGTAGTTATTTGGATGAAGATGACAGTTATGGTCACACTAAAGAAAGGCAAATAGTGTTAGAAAGTGGTTAGTAAATAAATATCGATTGCTTATAAAATGTTTATAAAAATATAACTTACAGATGAGCTAAAAAATGATATGATATGGCTGCAAAATAGGCATGAGCCCTGGGATGAAGTTCTGACAAAGTGGAAGAATACGTACGGGCTTCGGAAATTATCGACTGCAGCGACTGTCAGAGAGTTCTTTGAAGAATGGCCAATTTTAAAAAAAGACAATTCAGAGGTTTTGGTAGGTTTTATCAATTTTTTTAGTTCAAGCAGATTTTCAAACGGTAATTTAACGTGAATTTTCGAAAAACGCTCGGACACGTCAATTTTTTTATTCTAACGTATAAAACGTTTACAATAAAACACGCTCACTATCCTTTGGCGCTGGAGGCACAACTCCAAAAATGTTAATTATGCCTAATTGAGCATCCAACATATAATTGGAAAGGCCTTCCCTTTTAAATATGAAATCTTATTTTTTTTATATTTAATCATTTAGTTTCCAAATGTTTTGTTTTGAGCCACCCTCCTAAGGCATTTCCAAATTAAATAATGAAATTGTTTACAATACTATTATATCTTTTAAATGTAGTGACACTTACTTAGTTGTTTGATTATTGCAGATTAACTTGGATTTTGAAAGAGAGTATCCACAATCAACTCTGAAGCTCATTTTGGACTGGGAGAGCGCGTTTCAAAAAATTTTTGAATATAAAAGTCTTACAATAAAAGATAAATTTTGTGAGGAACTAATTACACTTTTAAACAGCGAGGGCATTACGGAAGGTACTAGTATAATTAGTTGAATTGTTGTGTAAATACAAATAATTCTGGTTTTTAGATAGTACATTTGCCGCACAAATCAGTATATTAGCGTATTTAGTACCTCCTAAAGGCAAAATTAATTTGGGTAGCAAGAATTTGTGGAAATTTTCATCTGCAGAAGCAGTCAATTCTATTATATGCCATGCTAAGGTAAATATTTCTCATTTTATGTAGTACGTTCTTTAATATGTTGCTTTAATGTGCAGATTCCCGGTGACGTAGATGAGATTATCAGGAAAAACAAGGAAACCGCGGCCATTAAAAAACAGACCGTCCAACCTTACATGATAGTGGAAGGGCCTTCATTAAAACAACTTAACAATTTTTATATAGTTGTGGACGAATTAAGGTACCAGACAAAATCTGCGAAACAAGCCTTTGATAATGTTTTCAAATTATTTTTTGTAACAAACGCGAAATATCCTGCCCCCGCAGAACATATTTACCTAATTATTCAGAAGGGCATTTATCATATAAATACTCGTCAAGATAATATCATTCCATATATTATGGACATACTGGAACTTTTAAAAAAAGATTAACTCTGTGTCGATAGCACAAGATCTCTTAAATACTATTGTTACTTACTTGGTGCCATATTATTTATTAATTAGGTCTACAAGAGAAATACTTGAGTTTAAGAATATTGTAACTTGTTTTTTATTTAGCAATTACTACTTACAGAATTTTTTTTTCAAATTTAACGTTTTGTTTACATAATACAAAGTTTATATATAAAATTGTAAAATGAAGTGTGGAGAGTGCCGACGTACTTTTGTTAATCCAAAAAAATTTGCATTGCATCTAGAAATCTTTCACCAAAAGACTAATTTTATGTGTCCAGAAAAAAATTGTAGGCGATTATTTTCAAGAAGGGATGCATTCGTTAAACATTTAACATCAAAACATATTAATAAATTTCCTTCAACTTCATCAGTAAAGCCCCATGTTCGTGACACTCATACAATACCTACTGCATCGGTATTACCTCAGAATGCACAAGCTGCACATCAAGATAACTTTAATAACATTGAAGATGAACGCACAGTAAGTTCTGATAGTCTAGACACACTTGTATCAAAATTTTGTAGTTTAATAGATTCTGAAATAAGAAAATTCATTTCACAGCTTTATGACAAACTAACAATAACAAAAAGTTGCATTCAAAATATTATTCAATTTGTAAATGCGTTTTTATCATCGGGTGTTTTAGACCTGTTACAAAAATGTTGTGAGGTAGCTAATGGAAACACTTTACCGTCACAAATTTCAAATATGTTTAAATTATTAAAAAATCCATTTCTCCATTTAGACACAGAACACAAAAGATTTAAATACTTTCTTCAAAGTAATTACTTAATAGAACCTTTTGAACAAGTACTTGGGCTCAGCGGTACTCGATCTGCGAAAAAAGATATAGTTTCATTGGTCTTAAAAGATCGCAGTTTTTGTTACATACCGTTAAAAAAAACACTTAAACTTTTTTTGGAACTCCCCAAAGTCTTTGACGAAATTGTTACATATCAAGGCAACATTTGTAAACGTAGTGCTTATTGTAATATACTCAATGGTTCTTTGCACAAAGATTTTTTCAATAATGTAGACAATAAGATAGTCTTACCTTTGATACTCTACTACGATGACTTTGAGACCTCAAATCCTTTAGGAAGTCACGCCGGTGTTCATAAATTGGGAGTTATATATTGTTCCGTTGCTACTACACCTCCACAGTATTCTAGCCGGTTAGAAAACATATTTTT